CCATTAGAAATATTTGCTGTATTTGTGTTGGATAGGTAGGTAAACTGGTTTGAACTATGGAGAATTCTTTCTTAGACAAGTTGTATTCTTTCACCACTAAGTAAAATGGACTTTAGTATATTAGTAAAGAAATGATTACAAATAAATATAATATGGCATATGAGAGAGTTGTCTAAAAATTGCTAATTACCATAGCTGTGAAAAGACAAACCTGAACAAACCTGCTCACTTATCTCAGGATAAAAAAAGTCCACAGGAAAGCTCAGTAACTTGCAAGTAATAACAGGAAAGATGCTAATACCAAGAAGCTCAGACCTGACTACCTGAAGGCATAAGCAAGAGAGACACATACAATACAGCATGGAAGCGTTCTGTGAATGCACTTTGAATATCAACGGTACCTCCTTTTCTGTGATTTTTTTTTTCATGCCCCTAGCTGACCATAGCAAAATGAACTGCAGTCTGATGCTGTTTCTGAGGAGCCTAGATAAGCACCAGTGGATCCTTTACCAGAGTATTACAAGAGATGCAAACAGAGGGATGTTTTCTCAGAATTTTAATCAATGATTGTTGTATTCCACATGCTTCAATGCACTCTCAAAGCTGTAAATAGGCTGGCTGCCTTTTGTAGGGGTCTGATAGAACATCCCTGTTCTTATCCTGATTTGCTGGCTATGTTACTACAAAGAACCCTTCCTAAAATTATGTTGCAAATGAACAGGCATCAGTTCAGCTGCACTTAAAAAGGAAGTGCCAAAATAAAATAAAGCAGGCCATGAGCAAGTTCAGTGGGATGCCTGTCAAGGATGGCCTATTTTTTTTTTTTTAGGTGTGGCATAAAAAGGTAATACTACCCTCCTGGCAATGACCATGTGTCTCTGTTATAGCAGGAGCCTAACAATGCCTAATGACTGGTAAATAAACAGTTTGCTCCATCTGCTGCTTTGAAGATATATTAAAGAAGCTGTTATAAATTCTGGAATTCTGGATAAAAATTATCTGCACACATGAGGGTTCTTCTGAGGGAGAGCCAGGTTGGGGAAAGGGAGGCGATACACTGCCTGAGCAAAGTTGTCAGGCGACATTATTCCTCTATAAGGGTACGTCTATACTTACCTCCGGGTCCGGCGGTAAGCAATCGATCTTCTGGGATCGATCCCGGAAGTGCTCACCGTCGACGCCGGTACTCCTGCTTCATGAGAGGAGTACGCGGAGTCGACGGGGGAGCCTGCCTGCCGCGTCTGGACCCGCGGTAAGTTCGAACTAAGGTACTTCGACTTCAGCTACGTTATTAACATAGCTGAAGTTGCGTATCTTAGTTCGAAGTGGGGGGTTAGTGTGGACCAGACCTTAGTCATAATGGTTCTGGGCAGTCACAGAAGCAGAGTGTTCACAGGAGATTTGATACACTGAAGGAAGTTTAGACTGTACTCTCCAAAGCACCCTCCTCCCAGCACTTCCAGGGGAAGAGAGAGACCATGGCCCTATTCTTGCCACTCTCTCTCATACATGCCCTCTTAGCTCTGCTAGCGGAAACTTCCATTAGCACACCCAGCTATATTAAAGTTTCTCTTTTGTGGGTACTCCGAGGTGCAAAGGAGCTTCTCGTTCTTTACCTAGAAGATCAACTCAGAATCAGCCTAATATGGCCCCCAAAATCAAGATGTGTGGCAAAATCACTGATCTGCTCAATGTGACTTCCAGGTGAGAGGTCTGACCTTGTCTGACAGACAGAGGAAAGGGAACTAGTTGTTTTGGAGTTGAGCTCCAGTGGTGATGCTAAGATCTATTTCACCTAGTGCCTTCCATATGTTCCCTTTCTATTACTGCGACTTGGAACATAGAGCAAAAATATTGGAGTTAATTGCAAAAAAAAAAAAAGCTGCTACATTTTTTGTTGGGTTTAGAGAAAGGCATGCAGCAAAATACTCATATTTCTAGAAGAGCTATGGATGTGTTAAGAAAACATGATAGGATTAATCCGTAACATCACAACTAGCTACCCAAAGGCTATGTTCTAGCTTGGGGCCTTGAAGAGCATTGGTCTGAAGGTAGATCCCATTTGCCATATACTGACCTAAGGGCTATCTATGCCTAAAAATATCTTATTTGGTATGAACAACTAAGGAATGTGTTCAAGATATTTAGTGAAGTGAATGTCACTATACAATGTCCTTTGGGCAGAATATTGCTTTCCAGCAGTGAGTCACTTGCCAGAAATTCCTCAACTGAGAGATTATATGGGAAGCCACTTAAGAGAGATTTTTTTCACTATTTCTAACCTAAACATAATCAACTCCTTATATAGCAGAATAGCATGCACAGTAAACTATTGTCCTTTAAATTGAAGTACTATCAGATGTGCAGTATAATGCAGATAGTATTAATCTACTTTAATCATCCTTCAAGTGCACAATACACTAATTGTGCCCATTCAGGAATATTTTTCCTGTTAAATTTAATAACAGGTTGTGTCACACATTAATTAAAATGTTATGCAGATATTTAAACAGACTAATTGATTTCTGTGTTTGGTTATCGCAGTGTAACATGTAGTCTTCTGAACAGTACCCACACAACTCAATAGGAAAAGCTCTGTATTGCACCATAAAATGCAATGCATTTCTCAGTACCTAAATATACATATTTTAATCTGGATATAAAGCCAAATTCCACACTGACTTACTCTGTGTATAATATAGGGTGTGTAAAAAGCGACAAAGAGTCCTGTGGGACTAACAGACGTATTGGAGCATAAGCTTTCGTGGGTGAATACCCACTTCGTCAGATGAATGTAGTGGAAATTTCCAGAGGCAGGTATAAATATGCAGGCAAGAATCAGTCTGGAGATAACGAGGTTCGTTCAATCAGGGAGGATGAGGCCCTCTTCTAGCAGGTGAGGTGTGAACACCAAGGGAGGAGAAACTGCTTTTGTAGTTGGCTAGCCATTCACAGGCTTTGTTTAATCCTGATCTGATGGTGTCAAATTTGCAAATGAACTGAAGCTCAGCAAAAAGCAACAGAGGGTCCTGTGGCACCTTTAAGACTAACAGAAGTGTTGGGAGCATAAACTTTCGTGGGTAAGAACCTCACTTCTTCAGACGCAAGTGAGGTTCTTACCCACGAAAGCTTATGCTCCCAACACTTCCATTAGTCTTAAAGGTGCCACGGGACCCTCTGTTGCTTTTTACAGATTCAGACTAACACGGCTACCCCTCTGATACTTGAAGCTCAGCAGTTTCTCTTTGAATACTGGTCCTGAAGTTGAATATAGGGTGTATAACTGAAGAAAATTTGTCCCAGTTTCTCTAAATTCAGATAACCAAGTATGTACATGTTCACCCTAGTATCTGAGCAAACAGTTCTGATTTACTTCCTCCTTTCTACCCTGCTCATTAAGATTTGATGTAATGAAGTAGTCAACACCGTTGCATCATGTTCATTAGATATCAAACCCTAAATGCCAACCATTAAAGTGAGCACTCCCCAAAAAAGTGATATAAACAAATAATGGAAGCTTGGACCAAACATTTTCTCTTATGGATAGAACTTTTAGTGACCAAGATGACATTTCCATTTAGTGTATTGTATCTGGCTGACACATGGCCATAGTACATTGGATCTGTGCTATCAAGATAGAGAAGTGCAGCCCTCCATGTATGCTGGGACTCTCACTCATCTGCAGTGCGCTCCTCTGAATCACTTTGTTGGATTCCCTTTAATTTGTCCAAAAAAATTTCTCTAACATTTCCCATGGTTGGTGTAGGTAGAGGGGAGCTATAGAAGAAATGATTTTGGTGAAGTAAGGGATTGTTTCCCTAAATCCTGATAGGCATGGGCAACTCCCAGTTGTGAACATGTGGTAGACACATAATGCTGCAGTAAACAACCATCATACTTCTCGACTCTTAATGGCAATTATAAACCAAATCCTTTTTACTCATTTCAGTGGCCATATTCCTTGGCTCCTAAGGACAAAGATCTGAGCTTTGTTTGGGGTTGAGAATATGTTTCAGGTGTCTGGGCACTATGCACCAAACTCGGGGTCTCTTCACTTTTGCTCCTAAAATAGGTGCATAATAATTTGATCAGAGTGACAGTACTTCTTTGTGTTACAGTGCTGGCAGGTAGTGTGGCCTTTCAAAATTCTCACAGATCCTCCTTCACAGATGACACATGCCAAAAGCATAAATAATCCAAGCAGAGGAGGTTGCATGGCTCCTGAAAATAGATCAGGGGGTTCTGGCCCTGGTTCTAATCTAAGACCAGCACATAAGCATATCTTACATTCCATCAAAGTCAATGGGTGTTAAACACAGGCTTAAAAGTTAAGCAAGTGCTTTTTCTGAATCCGGGTCCTCTGTGCTGAAAGAAGTGGACCCATAAACGTTCACCCCAGAATTCCGCTCCATGGCTCAATGTCCCCAATTTTGAAGAAGCAAGATGTGGGGTATAATAGTTGGGTCCCCCGGTTCCCTGCTTGATCATGGTTCCATGGATGCGTGCGAGTATCCTGGAACCAGAACTCTAGTTGCTAAAATGGGAGAGTGAAGGTAAGTAGAACATGACAGGAATGTTCTAAAAAGAAAAGGAATGAACAGAAAAGCTCACTCATGCTTATACTTCTTACGTGCTGCTTTTATTTTCATGGGGAAAATGGTTATTAAATCAAATGAATATAAAGTAGAAGAAGAAATACAAATAATGCCTCTCTTCTACATCAGTCGCTAATGGGTTTTAATACTCTTAGTTTCTATAGAAACTCAATTTTTAAATATTAGTTCTGTTGTGCTTAAAGATAATTTGTTAAACATATTCTATATACTAGATATAAAAAGGAGAAGTATTCTACCCCTAAGAAAATATGGCATATAATAAAATATATTGTTTGATCACAATATTTTCATGCTTATTCTGATCATTGGATGGGATATGTGTATGTAGGTATGTCTATATGTATGTAAACCTGTATCTTTTTCATATTTTTAATTGCCTGACAGATATTTCCAGGACTGATTCTCTCAGACATAAAGCCTGCCAAAAGAATGAAGTTCAAAACAGTCTGCTACCTGCTGGTCCAGCTCATGCATTGTCGTAAGATGTTCAAAGCTGAGATACCTTTCTCCAATGTCATGACATGTGAGGATGATGATAAGGTAATTAATAAGGATTCTCTGAGGTCCTTGAATGTGTGCTTTTAAAATGTCTGTTGCTCCATGTTGTCTCACAAACTAAACCAAAACAGGTTGTTACTACATAAGTGCTGTCAATATAATAAACCCTTGTCTAGAAAAAATTCCCCATCGTTGCTAATATGGTTTTTGCTCAGTAGGTAATAGCAGCTTTAATCCTGAGGCAGCCACAGGTGCCTTATCTGTACATTTCAAGCACCAGGTAAATTAGAGCATAGTAAATTGACTTGGCTTTTGAAAAGGCAAATGGCACCAGGCGTGCTGTCTGTGCTAGGGATCCCAGTGTTCCCACTAGTCCTGGAGCTGAACTGCTAGCAATGATGAGAAACTTTTGCAGAATTTCCCCAGTATAGACAAAGCTTAAGTGTAGCAGATTTCAGGTGCAGAGTCCCCCATACAAGTGCGTGCACACACATCTCACAACTGGCTACCATCTGGGACTTGTCCTTCAGAAAAGAGTCCCTGAGGCCATTGCAGAAATTTCAAACAGCTGTTTTGCAAATCCCTGGAGTCCTCCACAGTTTTCAGCTGATAGCATTGTACATGCAGTAGCATACAGAAAGTAAGTATATTTGTATGCCTGTTCATTTCTATATGAAAATGTGAATGGTAACCATGAATCATAAAGCTGATTTGGTGTTGAAACCAAAAGATTGGAAGAGTTGTCAGGTCATTTATTTTGCCAGTAGGTGGCAATGTTACATAGTTTACTGCTTGTATGTCAACTGCGGTAGAACAGGAAGTTCATTCATTGGGATTTGAACTATGTCTTGGACTTACTCTGATATAAACAAGATACATTTTGAAAAACGTCAAATCTGCCTTTCTGGCAGTATTAGAACTTTCCTGTTCGTGAAAATTTTGTTTCTCCCAGTACTGACAGAAACACAAAAATTAAAAAAGCAGCTCTTTTTGGTTTAAATCTCTTATTGCAGCCTTTATTTACCATTTATAGAAATAGCGTAACTCACATAGTAACTCACACATGACATCATTGCTCTGAATTACGTCTTTTAAACGCTCTTTGAGTATTTTGAAAAATCTATGTTTATTCTATAAAAGTTATGTGACAATTTAGTCTTTTTTTGTGTGTGCGTGTATACATAGTACACATACAAAACCTATAGTATGTTAGGGAACTGGCTTAAATTCCCCACAGTCAGAACATTCAAAGTCACTGCTATAATGTTATATTTAACTTACCTAGTTGTGTGTCAAGTGTTTGCAACTCATATGGGACTCTTATCTCAGGGAACATGATGTAAGAGGTTAATCTATACAAACCAACCTGCTCTCCAGGCTTCCTTCAGAGATCATTATTCCTTAAATCATGAAAGCCATATACAGCTCAAAATTCTTTGAAGCTGACCCAGTATTATCTGCATCTGTGCTACAATAAAGTTAAAAAAATTCTCTGACAAAATACTTTACCTTGCAAAAACTTGAGACATCATGAAAGTCTGTAACATGAAAAAAGAGGTAAAATGCATGTTAGAAAATAAATGAAAAAGTAGGTATATGTGCACAGTAGCTGATTTTATGGGCTAATAGCTCACTCCATTTTAATACTCTTCAACAGAAAACTCAAACAAAATCTAGGTCACTTAATTGAAAAAACAGCCTGCAAAATCTAGTTTAGAAAGCAAAACTATTAGGCACCAAAATATAAGCATCTGAAATGACACATCTATTTGTGTGTGTTAACTGGAATTTTAAGTACATGTTAACATAGTGGCCCTTCAGATTACATGCTTATTCAATATATTAAACTCAAAAGGCAAAACTCAAGTAGGTATTTTAGCTGTGTCATAAGCATTTAGCACCAATACTATAGTGTAAATATGAGAACAAGAAAACAGTGAGAGAACTGAAAAGATATTTTATTTATGCTTTGGACTCTCTTCCAGTACTTATCAGGGACCACTCCTGAACCAAGCCACTGGTCTGTAGTATTTCCTGACTGATCACTAGCTTCATATATCTACTTTACAGGGAAGTCTGCTTATGTGTGTTAGTAAACTAGCTGCTGACCTGTGTTTATTTGTGTGTTGTGTTTCATTTTCATTTTAAGAAGAGCTGCCCCTCCTGTTTCACACACAGTAAGAAAAGAAACATCTATTCATTCTCCATACATTTAGCTGGTCACCTTTGTCACCTGAGCTGTGACTTTGAAAGGGAATTGTAAAATCTCAGAGATATTTTCTAGGTATATAGCCTTTTAAAAAGTGGGCTATTAAACATTGACAGCACTGCACTGAGACCTTGTAACAAGTTTCTAATAGTGACAGGAAAGATTATTCTTATTATATCCTAGGTGGTAGACATCTGGGTTTTTTTTCCCAAGCTGATTAGTCATAACCTAATGTATTAAATGGCCTTCCCTGACACCTGCAAATGTTTCATAAAGGAAATATGTTTCTGACTATGTAGAAATAGGTTGAGCCCTTCTGTATAGGCATGACAGGGGCACAGCCAGGCCAAACTTGAGTGGTGCAGTCATCCCATGCATCAGGTCGCAACACCTGGAGCAGGGAGCCAGGCCCAGGCTTGCAGGACAGCAGCCACAGGAGTGAGTAACGCAAGAGAAATGGTAACAGAGGAAATATTATTATAAGGGAATCCCTTCATTATCCCTATATTTGTGGCTAAACTTCTGGTGTAAAATTATTCAAAGTCTTATGCTGTGGATGTGGAGAAGGTGAAGAAAAATTGCTTTGCAAATACGATCCCATCCATGTCGTCCTGAACAGCAGAACTGTTCAGAGGCATGGACAGTCTAGGTTAATTTGAGTTGTCTCCGCTAAGCCACAGAATTGAGTTTTTCTCATTTGTGATCAATTTTCTTGTTACCTCGCTGATCAAGTCACCCTGATCTGGGATGAGCTGGCTTTCTCCACAGTGGCAGAGTAGAGTGCTGTCAAGGACAATATGTAGAGGGATTTTTAAGGATGAGGAGTGAAATCATGGCCCCACTGAAGTCAATGGGAGTTTTGCCATGGAATTTAGTGGGGCCAGGATTTTACCTGAGAAATTGTAACTAATTTGTAATTAGACTGTAACTTGACAGGAGCAAGGACTATGTCTTTTCATGTATTTGTCTACAAATTTGTATTTCCTAAGCTGAACAGATTCCTGATGCTGACTGGGGACTTGGCAATACAAATGATGAGACATTTTCAGTCACGGATAATGTCATTGCAGTGAATAGCTGTCATCCTCTTGTTTTCTTTTCTGCTGCAGAGGAGAGCATTAAGAACAGCCTCTGAAAAACTCAGGAATCGTTCCTCTTTTTCTACGAATGTGGTATACACCACCCCAGGAACTCGAGTAAACAGATACATCAGCCGTTTGATAGAGGCCCGGCAAACTGAGTCCGAGATGGCTGACTTGAATTTCATTACCCTCAAGTATAAACAAATTGAACGTGAGCATAAAGTAAGTGAGAATTTGAATAGGGTCACTGACCAAAGATAATTGGACAGATGGAGTTGCACCTTCGTAGACAAGGTCCAAATTTTGCTCATTATCTTTAAACAATATTACAAGGCCTGACACCTCGCTCCTGCAGAAATCCACAGGATGGGGCTAAAGAGGAGAAAATCCCAGTGATGATTCCTTTGTGGATTTCCTCCCCTGTCATTCCATTGGGAGCATGGGGATTGTATTTCCTGCCCTGCGTAGTAGGCTGCAGGGCCCATACGTAGGGACATATGCGGGAGGCTCAGGATCCATGCAGAGGCACTTGCCTCCACAGGTTCGGTGGTTCCTTATAGTAGCCTACCCCGTGTAAAAAGGCCACATTATCTTTTCTGGAGAATTTCTGTAAAGCTGGAGCCAGGGGTTGATGTTCATCTCTCCTGGACCCAGCCCTGGCCTACCTAGTCTTAACTCACATGGTTATTTTTTTCTTTTAAGTGAAGGATGGCAGAAGTGGTCTGATTTTAGACTAATGTAGTAGTAGCCCTTTTTTTCCCCCTCAGATGTAAGCCATACAGTCAAGGGTACGTTGTCACCTCTGATTAGTGTCCCACACACAAAACTGAATTTTTACCCATTAATATTCATTTCAAGATGCCACAGATTAATCATTTAATTTTCATTCTTTAAAAAGCAAACAAGCCCTTCCTGTATAGTTGTAAAAAAGGGTGAGGTTTACCAGTGAAAATGGAACAGCTCTTTTGGGGGGTAAAGGTATATGGAATCTTGTGAAAATATATGTTTAGAGCTTTTAAAAAAGACATTTTGTTTAGCTGGTGATTTTGTGTGGTTTACAGCAGAAAGCATCTGCAAAGCTGCCCTAAAGGAGGAGCCAAGGATTCCACTGGAGAGAAGGGAATCCTCGAGTCATGTAAAGCCATTTTAGCCAGCTCTGTGCCTCCCACTCCCTCGCTTCCATGTAGAAGGAGTAGACACTGCAAAGACAAGAGATGGGGTGAGGGGTGGTGTGGACAACAAAAATCCATAGAAAGAGCTTCAAAGTTCTATTAATTTGGGAAGAAGAAGAAAAAAGCAATAGTTTGTAAATTCCATAACCTGGAACTTTTGGGGGCTAAACCCCAGGAGATGAGCCCTGCCCCTAAGAATTTCACAGAAGACAACCCCTAAGCTGTTTGTGAAGTGCATTATAGCAGGGCTGTCACCTGTGCACTTTCAAAGTGCACTTACATCTTACAGACTCACAGGGTTTGAGCATGTGGGACCCTAGGCTCAGCCTCTGCACACTTTACAATGGTGCACATGCAGTCTTATGTAGCTGCACACTTTCTAAGCTTAGCACCACATACCAATCTCAGTTACACTTGTGTAAATCCTGAATAACTGTGAGTGAAATAAGTTCAGTTTGTGCTGGTGAAACTGAGATCAGAATCTGGCACTTAATGAGAAAACATATTCAAATTCTTCTTTACCTGTGCAGCATACTAGTTTCTCAGACTCATGCCTTTGTTACACCAAAACCAAGGATTCACTCACATCTCTCAATAAGAGGTATTTCCATGCCACAAGTCAATGTTCTTCCCTCAGCTGTTTCAGTTGAAGGGCTGTTTGAAAGCAGCAAAGATTTTTCTTAATAATGGGAAAAGTCTATTTTTTCCTCCCCATTCTGTCACAAAGTAGCTGAACTCTTTTTGCTCAAGTATCAGAGGGGTAACCAATTCACCTCTGGGCTGAGGTCAAAGCTGAATAATTGCAGACTGAAAGGTGAATGTTTGGGAAAGATATGGGGTACAGAAACAAAGGGTGAGAAAGTAAAGTGTCATGCAGCCTTAACTACATCAGATACTGAATAATAACATTTAAAGTATCAGAGGGTAGCCATGTTAGTCTGAATCTGTAAAAAGCAACAGAGAGTCTTGTGGCACCTTTAAGACTAACAGAAGTATTGGAGCATAAGCTTTCATGGGTGAATACCCACTTCGTCAGACGCATGTAATGGAAATTTCCAGAGGCAGGTATAAATATGCAGGCAAGATTCAGTCTGGAGATAACGAGGTTCGTTCAATCAGGGAGGGTGAGGTCCTCTGCTAGCAGTTGAGGTGTGAACACCGGGAGGAGAAACTGCTTTTGTAGTTGGCTAGCCATTCACAGGCTTTGTTTAATCCTGATCTGATGGTGTCAAATTTGCAAATGAACTGAAGCTCAGCAAAAAGAACAGGAGTACTTGTGGCACCTTAGAGACTAACAAATTTATTAGAGCATAAGCTTTCGTGGGCTACAACCCACTTCTTCGGATGCATAAAGCTCAGCAGTTTCTCTTTGGAGTCTGGTCCTGAAGTTTTTTTTGCTGTAGGATGGCTACCTTTACATATACATAACATTTAAAGATATTTTCTGGGTGTGAATTAAAACACGTTCATTGCTACGTTTGTAAATATGTGGAAATATAGCAGCACACTCTATTTTAAACCACAGTTGTTCCTAGTTTAGAGTCAGAAGATATGGTATAGACGCTTCACTAACTGTCTTTGTGCATCTCTTCTCATTCACAGTACCACCAGCTTCAGGATGAATACTTCACCAGTGCTGTAGTTCTTTCACTAATTCTAGCTGCCTTATTTGGCCTTGTCTACCTTCTAATAATCCCACAGTAAGTATCTCTTGCTATTTAAATTCAAAGCACAGCATTTTCAAGGATCTTGTACACAGATTCAAACATTAGCTGTTCTGGAGCGAGAACTGAAGCACATACTACTAGATCCTGTAACTCAGCAGGGAAAATGAGACCCCAAACAACAAAAGGCATTTGAAGGGATATTTTGAAAGTATACAGACAAGGTTGGTAAACTTTGAATTCAGTGGTAAAACAATAAATCCAAACTCCAGCCTTGTCCCTTCCACCTGTCTACAAAATCACCATTATTTTTAGCTGGCTTGTTTCAAAACAAATGCTTCAGTGCTCATCTTTGGGGGTTTTTCACATTGCCAGCATCCTACCTCTGATGCTCAACCCCTTTAATAACGAACAAATTAGTAAAGTATGCATGCAGAAGAAGAATACAGTAGAAACTTGCTAAATGGGACATTGCTTAGATAATTCACACACACAAAATGTTGATCTCTCCCCAATTCTCAGCAAAGGTTTACTAGCAGAGCAGCACTGTAGTGAAGTCTCATATTACTAATACCTTTAACTTTTAGAATATTTACTAGTTTTCTATGAAGTCTTATCATAAGTATTTAAAACTAAGCTGCACTGGAGAAATAACAGAGCCAGGAATATTTTGTGATGTAGTATCTTGTCTTTTGATTGTACATTTGCTTATTGGCTAATTCATATAATTCAGTAATTAGCACTGAGTCTCATGAATTGATTCTAACTGGTAAAGAAGCAGACATCAGAGTCGAGTTTCCATGGGGTTATTATAGTCAGCAAGTGGGGAGAATTATTAAAAAAAAATGTTTTTGACAATATCCTTTTTAGGGTGGGATCTTCAGAAGCACTCAATATTAGGCTAACTCTGTTCCCATCCAAGTCGTTAGGACTTTGATGTGAATAGAGGTAGGCCATGGCTGAAAATCCCACTGTCACGGAGTGGCTGACCCCTGCAATTGAAGTAGGTCAGGCGCCCCTCTGCAGAAGCAGGTATTCCCAGTTGGGCCAATTAAGGGGGCAGGGCTACATCTGAGGTTGTAAATGGTTAGAGGGAGTTCCAGTGAAGGGATGGTTGTGGGAACAGGACGAGAGAGAGAGAGAAAGCAAGAAAGCTAGCTAGCTAGCTGCAGGAAGCAGGAGTGGCAGGACTGCCAGAGTCCCCTGGGAGGGAAGGCAATGAGAGCCTGAGACATGAAGGGTGAGCTGAGAAACTGTGCTTTTGGCTGGTTGTTAAATTTGGACAATAAAATCTTGCCTAAAAGAGACTGTGGGTGTGAGTGAGCCATTAGCAAGCTGGGGAGAAACACTGCCTTATGACACCCACCCTTAACTCTTAATTCAGTGATTCCCTACTAAATTTTCCTGGTAGTTTTAAACTAAATTGTAGTTTAATAAGGTTCTGTAATATGAAAGTCTGAGCCACGTGTTTATTGTTGAAATAATAATAATACTTTAAAGGGTTATTGCCTCTTTCATCTGAGGATTTCAAAGCCAGTTACAAAAATCAGGGAATTAACCCCCAAAAGGCCTCCCTGAAGTAGGTAAAACATAGTTAGGAATTGCTTCACTTAATTTCAAGGTAACGCCCAGCAGCAGCATCTAGAAGTTCAGGACAGGAAGTGTCAAAGTATAGCAGATGCAGTTGAAACTTGAGAATGAACTTAAGGGGACAAAAAATATAGGGAATTGGAAATATAGGAAATAGACTCTTATAAAAAGGGGCATAGTTATTTAGTGACCATCTGGTCAGGCCTTCAGGTTAACATCTAATCTGACAGCCCACCAGCTGATCAGCACTACTGAACACCATGCTGTTGCACTGGTTATTTACTGATTTAGACAGAAAAGCTGCACTTCCCAAATAACTAGTACCACTCTCTGCAGGATCCACAGGAGGGGTTCTTGGACAATGTTTCTTCTGAGTACTGACTTGGGCAGTTCCTTTGAAGGTTGTGACAAAATCACAGCCCACATTGCAAAACTTGGAAAAAGCAAATTCTTGTTAGGAAAGCCCTGATCTCCCTTGCCCACAACACTTTTGACTTGGAAATGCTATTTAAATGGCCAAAAGCCACATGTGATGACGAAGGAGATTCTGGTCAGTAGAGACAAAGAGAGGCTGAAGGATGTAGGTCATGTTATTGCAACAGGAGCGAAAATATAACAGAGCAACAAAAAGCTTGACGACTCTAACGGGAGAAATATTGCCAGAGGGAACGTGCAATGACAACAACAAAATCTTTCATATTATTTCTCCGTGTTAAAAGCCAGACTCTGGTCAGTCATTGCATGAGCACATAAAGGGGAAGAAGCCTTTGCTCACTGTGCTGTCTATTAAAGGTTTGTGACGTTCCCCAGGGTACAACCTGGATTCTTGGGCAGCTGTGCCCCTCAGTTCTCTGCTCTCACACAGCCTCCAGCATATAAATTTACCCCCAGTTATACTGCAAGAATGCTTCAATCAGACAGCCTGCCACCCTTGAAATATACAGCAGAGTGACACCAGCAAATTCCCAGTCCCTGACTTTCCCCCAGAAGTGTGCGTCTTCTACTGCCTAGCACAGTACAAGCTCATATAAAGTCTGTCATTTCATTAATAGAAATTAATATGCACAAACCTTGTTATCGCAAATGGAGTTTCCCCAACACTTCAATTCAAACACACACTGGCTTAGATAAAAACAATAAACAAGTTTATTAACTACAAAAGATAGATTTTATGTGATTACAAGTAATGAGGCATAAAAGTCAGAATTTGGTTACAAGAAAATAAAGGTAAAACACAACACAAACATAAGAGTGAATTCAAAGCAACAGATTTCTGTCACCACATGTTCTAGCAGTTTTACTGGCTGAATCTTTCAGCCAGGATCACTCCCCGGTCCAGTAATGCTTCTTTTGTCTTTCAAGCATTGTTGATGCCTTGAGTAGAGATGAAGGGAGAGAGGTAATCTGAGGAGTTTGTTCTCCTTTCTTATAATATTTCTCTTCTTTGAGAATCATCTTCAGCTATGCTTCAGGCAACAACAAGTTTGTGAGACAGGAACTTCCAGCTGTTTCTTTGCCAACATGTAAATTTATCGCTCACACCCTTTTTCTTTCCTGCTAAAGAATGGCCGCTTAACCTGGTGATAGTCCATTTGATTTTGATTAACACCCAGCTGAGGTGTTAGTTTGCCTTTTGTCCCTAAGGAACTGTTTTGTGCCTGCTTTTCTAAACTTTGAACATGTCTTATACAGTAGAATTTAATAACTTTACATACTGTGTTGCCACACACATTTTACCAGGACAGTAATGTTCAGCAGATTATGAGTTTTCAAATGATACCTCACAAGGCATACTTTGTACCAAATTTATCATAGTCTTGTGGAAAGGGTAAACATAGGGATACAGACCATGACAAGGCTCTGTCACTTTCACAGTCCTTGTGATCAACTAAGCTAAAGGGCTGCACAGACAAGTGGTGCTTGCCTCACCAAAAGGAGTGGGAGAAAGTTAGGCCATGATCCTGTCTACCTACGCTGGCAAACTATGGAGGACACTGTACACTTCACCACCTTCTGGGGTGATGCAGCAGATGCGCCCCTCCCAGCTAAGGTGGTATGAGGCTGTACCATACAGAAGCCAGTGCTTTAAAAGCATGGTAGCACCTGCTTTCTACTATTATTATTAATATTTATATTGTGGCAGCAGCTACAGGCCAGCCAGATCATGGATGTCACAATTCAGGGCAACTGTACCTGTGTTCCCCTTCCGTGGTCCAGAAAGGGCACCCACTCTTAGGCTCATCAGCCATCATCGGTTTTGGATGAAGACATGCATCTCTCTCTTCCTCCTGATTGGAGTGATTCCAGGCTGCACAGTTCCCTGCCTACACTGTGAATTCCCCAGCAAGTCAGAATGCTTCAGCAGGCCTGCTTTGCCTTCTCCTCAGAGGCTATAACCAGCATAATTACCCATAGTTAAGTTACTACACAGCTCTTTCTAAACAAGCACATTTATTCTTAAGGTAAAAGCATTAAAGAGAAAACATATTACAAACAATAAAAGAACATACACACATGCTAATAAGCTTACCAGAGATCATCCCAACTCCAGCATGGGCTCTCGCAGGTGGACAGGTCTTTTAACCCCCCACTGTTTTTTCTGTGGTTACAAGTTTAGAACATGTTTTCCTCACAACAAGAATACCCCATGAATAGGTCAAGCCCTTCCAACACTTCCCAGGAACGATTGGAGCCTCCCTTGGACAGAAGATTCTGTCCATTTGCTGGATCAGAAAGCAGGTCTTGAATCAGTGTAAACTCAGGCTATTTATCCCAAAGTCCTTTCTGCCTGTGTTGGTCTCTAGAAAATCCAGTGAATGTGAGCCTCTCCTGGTGGTGGTACCTCTTGGAAGTTGTTACAGCCTGAGTGAATTTGCCTAATCCCCTCCCTGCCCACTTCTTAGTTTCTGGAGGGTGGTGGTTTCCCCACTCCATGGAAATACTTGCAATCTCTGGCCCACAATGATGCATAGACTTAAGATCCCCCAAAGAGATATTGCAGGAAAAGGCCATATCTGTCACAATGGAGACATTGTGCCAGGCTCTGTACAATCATATAGCAAACAGTAATTCCTGTCCTAAAGAACATACCCCCAGCTAGAGTCGCTCACAATTTTAAAAAAATGTCTCAGTAAGTACTGCAGGACTTCTCTAAATTTTAAATCAGGGACACTTATTGGGATCATATAGTGACTTGGAAAAATTCCACTGTAAAGCAGTCAATCTCTTCTTCTTCCACTATTGGATTCTAAACCCCTATAAAAGCAAGAACTTTTTGGTGGTGACAATAAAGAGCACAGACATAGACACAATGGCCTATAAAAAGGTTACGCAATTTATATGCTCCCTCAATCCTGGGGCTTACCAGGGGCCAGCCTTGCCCGTGCATAAATTAGCACACCTGCATGTATGCTGTAATTTATGGCTGACTATCCACATACTCAAGCGACTAGTGCAGCAGCCAAGGATCCTCAAGATGTAGGAATGCCTGGCCATATCCCCTTTCTCCTAGTCTCATATCCTGCTTTGGGGGATGGGAGGGAATTTGATACAGGAGTTACTGTAGCTACTCTGCAGTACCCAATTTTTTCCCTATGCATGGGGAATTCTCAGGGTTGAGATCTGTTAAGTTTCCGGTTGCTTTGCATGGAGCAGCTGAAATGGAGCAGCTAAGATCCAATTCAATAAGTGATCGAGTGGACAAACCTCTAATCTTTATAACTCTTCTTTCTCTCACAAGGAGTTAAAGAGAGAGGAACTGCGATAACCATTATATATCAGCGCAGGGGTCAGCACCACCATGTTGCACGACCTGAGACCTAATACAGTTGATGCTCTGAGATTGTGTGATCCCCTTACTAGGTTCCTGATAGATACTATATAAAAAAAAAAGTACTGAATTGTCATTCTTGAGAATTTCACTAAAGGATTTCTGGCAACACAATAGGAAGAAGGTTTTAAAAAAAATGAAAACTCCCTCTGTGTCCATCAGTTTGATATTGGGGGGGAAATCCCACATGCATTGCTCTGATCCACCAAATGGCTTTAGAAAAACACCAATACAGCTAGCTCAGATATACTCTTTAGTTGCATTGCTTTACTGCTATATTTTTTTCTTCTAGGAGTACCATAGTCCTTGTCCTCCTGGTGTTCTGCATATGCTTCCTAGTGGCTTGTATTATGTACCTACATGTCACACGAGTACAAGTAAGTGATTTGAGTCTTCGTGATACCTCTTCCTTCAGGAGTTTTATTTGGTGGTAGTTATTTGGAACCTGGTAACACCTATGTGCACTTCATAGCATGATGTAATCTGTGTATTTTTCTAACCTGCCTAATCTGTAGCAAAGCAATGCATTAGAAACTCCAAACAGAACCAACAAATCTGGGACTAGCTCACTTTAAAGATGTCTCTTTCCCTCTGCTAGACATGTTTTTGAGCAGGTTTTCAAAATGGTAATAAAGCAGAAGGACATTCTGCACACTGTAGAAGGAGAAAATCAGGGTAGGGATCTGCAGAGACTAATTTTTCTGGTGAAAGTCCTCATTGGATTAGTCTTTATTTGGTATTCTCAGATAAAGAGCAGGAGAAAATATCCACACAATTAATCAGCTCTGCTGATTAGTACACAATTGTTTTAAATTAAGAAAAATACCCTTTGGTTAGAGGAGAGGAATTGTTTTCTTGGAAACATAAATAGTTTAATTAGCAGAGTAACTGGTAAAAAGCAAATCTTTATTTACAAACATATACAATTATTTGGGAGTAATTTTGTTAGTCTCTTTTATTTCAAAAAGGCACAGTAGTTCATACTCATGCAGTTTGTAAGAAATCGTTCCCATTATTAAGGTCCTTTGAGGCTAATGTAAACTTAAGGTACGCTCTTGCTGTTGTTAAAGTCAATGACAATCCCTATAAAGGTGTTCATCACTTCACTGGATTGAACCCTATATCTGAAAACAGAGAGAGAAAATTCCATATGTAACATTAGCAATTGTCTAGAGAAGCAGCTTAGCCTTGTTTGTGGAGTGTGGGACTGGGAGCCAGGAACTCCTGTATTCTAATCCTGGCTCTGGCGCACTCTCTTGCTGTATGACATTGGACAGGTCACTCAACTTCTCTGTGCCTCAGTTTCTCACATATAAAATGGAAAAAATAATAATACAGGTATTTACCAACCTTCTTAGGGAATCTGGGGTGATTAATTAATTAATGACTATACAGTGGTCCTGAAAATAAATGTAAATAAAGGCAATGACATGCAAAAACCTATGTTAATATAGCGATTGCAATCTTAAAATCATAAGAAAAAGGCAGGAAATGCAAAAGTTTAAGTGTAACTTTAACTCGACCAAGTCTTACATGAATTACTTATACTTAGTTTTTCTAGTTAAATTTGTTGCTTATTTAATTACGCTTCATACTGTATGTAAACCATAAAATGTACAGGATATACAATGTGGCAAGATTGCAGTTGGAACCTTTTGTTACTTGTTTGTCATTTTAACTATGCAACGTTATCACTGTACTAACAGAATATCCTGCATTTTATTATTGCTGTTATTGCTTTTGTGAAGAACAAGGAAATTATCCTTGAATTACTTCCACTGCAAACTGCATCATTCACTGTACAATGAAAAAATGTTTCCTGTCATACGATGGGATTATAGTTATCCTTTGTTGTGTTAGGTACTGAATCACATCACCTGTGTAAGATGCATATTGGACTTTGTTCCTGGCTATGAGTTCTGTCCCCTGCTGCACTTTGTAGTATTTGTCACAATGCTGACCCTTTCCCCTTATCATAACACAGTAGATTTTCAGCAGTTGATTCTCATAGTGGACAATGTGTGAAGATACTGTGTGCAGACCAAGTTTACTGCTGTAGGAAAGATTTGTTCCACAATATTATCATTGTTTTATTAATGTTATATCCCAGATGTTCCATCATATTTTAATGATATTGACAGATGATCAAATTGATTCCTGGCGTAACTTTATTGCACTCACTAGGGATCAGTTTATCCCATTCTGTTTTAAACATGTTGTTTATAGCAATCTACTATTGATATTACAATAATGGTTTCTCTTGTTACATCCATGTGGGGTGTTATCCCTTGGTCCACATCGAAGCCAGGATGTATTTCAAGATCACATAATACACACTGAGTTTTGTTTTCCTCTGTTAGTGTAATAAATTAGCCACAGAATTGGTATTCCTATGTTTTTTGCAATACAAATGAGTACAGTTCACCTGCAATCACCGACCATACATTCTGTCACTGCCATGCATAGGGGTGACATAAACCCAGTGAGTCCATGTCTCCACATGTGAAAGGGAGAGCAGGAGTTCCAGTGCATGATACCTGTTCCTACAGAAGCCCCTTTGTGGTACTCTGCAGTGAGGTGTATATGGTATTTTCTCTGTTCCTCATGCAGTTCGGAGGATACCATGTGTAAGCCAATTGAATTGGGAAGACTCATTAATCTCTAGTTGGCCTAGCCACCATTAGAGGGGGAAACATCCCCAGCTTCAGAATCTACTGAATTCAATTCCCAGTACAGGCCAGTATTTGTAACCTCTGGGTGAATCGTCAGCAGCTGGGATCGAACATGGGACAGCTGAATCTTTAATAGATGGCCCTCTATTGCCTGAGCCAAAAAGATGCACCTCTCTTAGCCAAAGCTGTAGCAGGCTCATTAATCTTAGTTGGCCTAGCCACCACTAGAGGGGGACAGAGTGCCATACCAACCAAGCATGGCTTACATATATTTACCAGCAGGCATACAAAAATTGGTTCTCCCTCATCGTCACTGGCCTAAGCCAAATCCAGCCCAGATGGGGCTAAGCACCTTCCTTGTCTTAGAAGCACACTGATGTTCCCCCACTGAAACTCCTTTGTCTTCTAGGTCCTGGTCCTGGTCCTGCTCCCATTCAAGTCATTGGGGGTTGACTTGAATGGTGCAGGATCAAGCCCCAAGCTATAGCAAATGTGCCACTTATTTGCAAGCCAAGGGGATAAGGAAGCAAGCAGCTCCCCATGGGACCAAAGTAGATCAGTATAACTCAACCCAGCACGAGTGCACATTCCAGGCAAACTGTTACCCTCCCTTTCCCACTTTCTACCCAAGAGCTTCATTTATATTGAGGGCAAGTGCTCAGATACTTAGATGAACATGAATGATGAGAGAGGGATGCTCAAGACTCTGCCTTCATTAACCATCTTTGCTCCATACTGCTTTTCCTAGTCTGACAAATTAGATTACTTTTTTAAATATGGGCTCTACTAATTAAAACTCAACTGGCATTCACTGTTACTGAACTATCAGTACAAAATTCTGTGTGGTATGTATGGTCTGGAATCTTGGGTTGCTGTCTACAATTGACAGTTTCCAAACCATACAGTTATAATGTTTGTTTGTTTTCGTTTCTTCACATGTACAGAATAGAATGCTAATTAGAGCATTCTAATTTGTTGTATTTATCGTGAACAGAAATCCTATTAAAAACAAAATAAAAGCCAGTTTTAATTATAGTGAGAAATAACTTACAAATCTGTTTTCTTTTTGTTACAGAAAACATGACTGTCCTTAAAATATTTGTGCACATTTCTTATTTTATTATTAAAATTTGGAATTTATAGCACAGGCAGAATTCACATATCTATTCCCTATTTTATTTGACATCCTATCCTTGTAAACAATAACATACCCATTTTTTACATTATTTGGATTTAAAATATCCTTATTTTACAATCTTTTTTTTTTCTCCTGCAGTGTTTTCCAGGGTGCCTGACAATACAGATTCGTACCGTTTTATGTATTTTTATTGTGATCTTAATTTACTCTGTGGCTCAAGGGTGCGTGGTGAGTATACAACTATAAGCCAAATATATAAAGTTTAACATTAAGTTTAAGAACAATCTGTTATAGATCGCATTTAGTCTCCCACCTCATTCCATTTTCTTTCTCTCTCATGCACAAAATATGTAAATATATTAATAAAGTATCTATAGCAATGGGGTGTGATTTAAAGGCTATATTAGTTATGAGTAGTGGAAGCCACTAGTAAGCTATACAATTCATTCCAAATTAGTGCTGAAATAAATCTTCATATCAAACCACACCATCATATGTTCTGCATATGTCACATACTTTACAGAAGAATTATGTTTGAAATGTTCAGTACTGGACCAGGGACCAGCTGAACATCTGATATTTTGTGACTTGTCAGGGAATCCACACTTTCAAATGGAATAACACATTTATTTCTATACCTGATAGATCATGAGAGATCAGATCTTGAAATCACGACAGTATTATGTAATGAAAGGAGGTATATAAATATATTAGTCATAATGTCCATCTATCTCTTAGGCCTGTGTAATTGCTCTGGTATAGAGTTATAGGTGTTCAGCACTTTTGAAAATCAGGCCACTTGTTTAAGTGCTTAGGATCCCAGGTTTGAAAATGTGGGCACAAATATATATAAAAAGCAAGAGAAATAACACTGGGCCTGATCCAGATCCCACTGAAGCCAAAGAGAGTCTTTCCATTAACATGTTAGGCTTTGAATATATTACAAGATGGCTGATGCTGTCTGTTAAATGTGGTGTGTCACAATATGGCATTCTAGAACTAAAAGCCAAGCTAGAGAAGCAGAGTGGTGCAGCAGAGGCTAGAAGCTCTGTATTTCTAAATTCTTTTCCTGGCTCCTCAATTGAATTGATGTCTGACCTTGGGCATGTCACATGACTTCTCTGTGGCTCAGTTTCCTAACCTCTAAAATTGACATAGTAATATCTACCTATCCACTTCACAGAAGTGTTGTGAGGGTTGATTACCTACTGTTTATAAAACATTTAAAGATGTATAGTGCCAAGTATTATGGAGACCTTTTATGGCTAAAAAAAAGATTCAACTCCTCACAGGCATCCCCCTCCCCAAGAGGTATTTAGATATCTGCAGGGAAATTAGGTATTTGAATTACCTAAACCACTACTTTCACATCCTGCTATTTGGCTACTCCCTAGAGTAAAAATCGCAAATAACACAGACTTTCTCGCTGAAATTACAGTGCTGTTCCAAGAAGTGCCGCCAGGAATTTAATCCCATCCTGTTGTAAGAATATCTACTTGTATGTATCTGTAATCATTTCTGAAGCAGCTTTTACACACCACCTTACATCTTCAAAGTATTTAATAAAAGCCTCACTTCTCCGTCCCCTGTGAAATAAATATTACCCCTGTTTTGCACATAAGGAAAGTGAGATACAGAGATTGTGATGTCCAGGGCCACAGAGCAAGTCAATGGAAGAGTGGGGGCTAAAACTCAAAAGTTCCTGACCTCTCCAATCCTCAGTTTCTTTCACTACACCATGCTGCATCTCACATCTGTAGTTTTACACTTTAGTGTAGCAATAACTTATAACCTTTCAAATGTTTTGGGGAGCTGTTTAATCAGTAGAATAAGTTCCTGCAAAAACCCTTCCAGAATTGTTCACGATCAGATAGATGTTGAGGTTTCACCTTAGTTAGTTACAGAGCAGATGGTGTTTTCCTGGATGAGTTGCGTATCATTTACAAAGCCCTTGAACGTTTCTAAGTTTTGAAATGTTGGCTGCTGTGTAGTGCAAGTGACATTTTTAAGTAAGCTGTTGAACAAAATTGTGTTCAATTAATTTTTTGCTTCCCTCTTTCTGATTTTGTATCACAAGATTAGCTATTAAGTATTTATCTCGTAGTCTCATCTTCTTAAATGATTGTAACTGCCTATAAAATGTACTGCGTCATCACCTTTCAGACTGTCACTGATTTTATGGCACACTATAAAATTTCATTATCGGTGGTTAATACTTTTTTAGAAGACTAATAATAGATTTCAGAATAGAAGGAGAGTACAGATAGAGCTTATCTGTAGGTGCCTACTAACACTGATGTCCTCCTAAACCCACATTACCACCACACTCTCCCATTTAATGTTAACTCCAGTCCTCCCCAATGGTGTAAGATAAAAAGCTGATGTGTGATTATAATAACAAAAATGTTGGGACAAGATCATGCACTTGGGATTCCTCACTTTCCGGGCTGTTGGAATTGGGATGTGTCACTGACATCATCTTTGGAAGAATTTGATCATACTTCCTCCCAGCTGGAGGATGAGTGCCAAACTAATGGTGGTTAGACTAGAGAGAAAAGGGAGATAGGATCCCTAGCCTTAATTATCTGTGGATCTCTGCTTTTCCTGCTTATCCATATCTGGCTTATTTGAATCTGTTATGATTATTGATGTAATTCACGTTTAGCTGCATAGATGAAAGAGAATAATTACATACCTCTTATCTTTCATCAGAGATTTAAAAATTGTTTTACGTCTGTGACTTGATTTTTTTTTAAATTGTTAGAGTTTAGTCAGTGTGTGTATAATCAACATGCTTCTTCCTCTGATGTGTGTAAGAACTATTCTAGCAAAGATCGCCACTTATATGGGTATTAAAATACTTTTAAATATTAATAAATAGATATTTTCTTGGGTCCTTTTGTTGCTTGAGCACTGAAAAGGGAGAGGGTTTTTTTAACTATGTTCAAACTCTAATTCTCCACCTTTGCTGCCATCTAGTGGATTGGGAGCATGATTCCTGCCTCAAGTAGAGGTGGAAATGTGCTAGAAGAGGAAGAATAGTCTTGTTATTAAGAGGCAAGTCTAGGAGTTGGGAAATATGAGGTCTGTTTCTGACTTGAGAATCTGATTGAGGGAAGAGGGCTATAACCAGGCCCAAGAGCTACTGAACTTCTGATGGAGTGTTTCATTTTAAACCCTGCTGTTTTCCCCAGGTTGGATGCATGCCTTGGGTATGGAGTACGAATTCCAGCAGTTCCATTGTTATCATTTCTCCCGGTGGAATGAATAAAACAATGAATGAACTTCCATGTGATACAGCCCATTATGCTTTCCTTTCCTGCGTTGTGGGGACTCTTACCTTGGCAATATTTCTACGTGTCTCTTCCTTGCCAAAAATGATCCTCCTGCTTTTTGTTACTATTTTGTACATAGTTGTTCTGGAACTCAGCGGATACAGAAAAGCAGTAGGGTAAGTACACTGTAAAGTTAAGGAAAGTAGTAGCATTATGGATGGTCCAAAACATTGCCGACTCCGTTTTACTACTCTTGTTCTAAAACACTGCAGTACTGTGTAAGAGACAGATACTGAGAGATGCTCAACTCCCAGTACCTTGCAGGATCTGGCTATTGTGGTAATATTCATGAGTGGAACATTTGCTTTTGTGAACTAACAGCTATGGCCTGGTTCCCCATTGCGTTACTCCAGTTTTACACTGGTGTAACAGAGTTGATTTCATTGGAGTCACACTCACTGGTTTAAAAATGGTGTTAACAGAGCAGTGAATGAAGCCCTTATGTGTAATTGAAATGCTGAAATAATGTTAAACAAAGCTACACACATGTACATGGTGCATATTAGTACCTGGTACATATTATCTACATTTATGCTCTTGATGGGTAAGACCCTGAAGCAATTGGGCACACTTTGTTTTGGGGCATGGTGCAGGGATCATACAGCAGTGTCAGCCTGTGCACTGACAGTATTTGCATGCTGCATTTTGAGAAGGGGCTAGTGGTTTGGGGTGCCTCCATTTCTGTGTGCCTAAATTTAAAGGATCCTGATTTTCAGAGGATGAATACTCAGCACTTTGACAATCATACCCTTTCAGTGTGTTTCAAGTGTGGCACCCCAAATCACTAGTCACTTTTGAGAATTTAGACCAAGGTTTTTTGCTTTAAAAGATCTGTATTAACTTATGCGTTCTTTCTTTTTTTTTTTTAAAGGGGTGGCTCCTTTTATATGCGTGGCTATGAACCTATATTAGCCATTTTGCTGTTTTCTTGTGCTCTGGCACTTCATTCCAGGCAGGTGGACTTGAAGTTACGTCTGGACTACCTCTGGGCTGTGCAGGCAAGGCACTTATTTTTCTTTCCAAAACACACACACAAAATGTTGTCTAATTGTTTTGTATGCTGTCCATTCATATTTCGCACATTGGCTAGGCAAAACAAAACTCCGTATTTGTTGTGGCTCACCAGCAAAGGAGTCCCTTATTTTCTTTCCACATGCAACTTCACAATATTTTTCCTCCAAGAACTGAATCTTATGGGCGTTAATGTCTTACAATAATACATCAAAATTAGAGTAACTTTATCTATATTGGGAATTTCATATTAAGAAATGTAATCAACTAAACAGTGTTATAGAATTGTTATAGAGAAGATAGATCAAAAGCTTCTGCTCACCTCGTCTCATGCCACAACAGGGCCGGGGCGGAGCGGCATTCAATTACAATAAACAGTGGCAAATTCAAAACTGATAAAAGGAAATACTTTTTCACACAATGTTTAATTAAACTGCAGAACTTATTGCCACAGGAAGTTGTTGAGACCAAGAACTTGGCAAGATTCAAAGGGTTTGGCCATTTACATAGAAAACAGGAATATCCAGAACTATCATAATTAAAAAATGAAAGGGATATTAAACCTTGTGCATAAGTCAATCTCTGTACAAGGTCAGGATGAGTCCTGATGTGGGAGTAGAATATCCCACATCTGCTTACTGCAGGGTTCTTGCACCTTCCTCTGAAGCATCTGGTGATGACTACTGTCAGAGAGAGAGGATACTGGACTAGGTGGACATTGGGTCTGATCCAGAATGAGAATTCCAATGTTCCTATATATCCTGGTGGCCAAATTCTGTGCTGACCTATACCACATTGAATGCAGTGGCAATGGGATTGCACCAGGTATAAATTATCACCGCATTTGGTCTGCTGTGTAAGGACAAAATTGTAATGTATGGGACATGTGCTGCAAATAACTGGAATAATTGGGTAGCAATTGGCCCTATAGAGGCTGGTGCATAGTGGTGGTTTGTGGGAGGAACCTTCTGAGCCGTAACTATGTGGATCCATTGGCTTTAATGCTGTGTACCGCAGTAGTCAGTATTCCAGCCAGGAGGTGGAGTAGCAACTGTGGAGGGGATGCTTTGCAGCTCCAAAGCTTGCCTGAGAATCAGAGGTGAATTCCATCCTTCCAAACCCTGCTAAATACTCTCCACAAAACTCAGTTTTTCATACCCAGCTTGGAGAAGAAAATTGTGCATCCCTAAGGAATATGATCCTTAAAACTTAAAAGGCCTTACTTTTATAATTTTACAAACTGAAATGTATAGAAGAAACGGGAGTTTCATGTGCTTCCCTGAAGTTGGGGGCATATCCCCAGAAGCCCATGGTCCTCAGGGACCATTCCAGAAGCTGAACTTTGCTGGGGATAGCGGCACCCTGGCCAGGTCCCTTTTCTTCTAGAATCACCCCCTGAGCTTGGGTGGGCAGCCTCGGAGCCACTATGGGGACTCATTGCGCCCAGAGGTGGTGCTGACTCCGCTGGCTGTAGTACCCCAAACTTTTATTTGGATATCTTCTTATAAGTGTTTTGCAAAGTGGTGTATTCTGTAGTCTCCTATTACATTCAAAGTGGCAAAGAAATCACAAATAATGACAAATGAAGTGGGGTGGTAATGACAAAACTCTACACCAGTGGAGATTCATTACAACCAAAATTTACTTTACACTGTCTTTCACGTCACTTAGCTGTATCCAGGCTCGCCATCAGGCTGATCCTGTAGAACAGGGCTCGGCAACCTTTCAGAAGTGGTGTGCCGAGTCTTCATTTAGTCACTCTAATTTAAGGTTTTGCGTGCCAGTAATACATTTTAACGTTTTTAGGTCTCTTTCTATACGTCTATAATATATAACTAAACTATTGTTGTATGTAAAGTAAATAAGGTTTTCAAAATGTTTAAGAAGCTTCATTTAAAATTAAATTAAAATGCAGAGCCCCCCCGGACCGGTGGCCAGGACCCGGGCAGTGTGAGTGCCACTGAAAATCAGCTCACGTGCCGCCTTTGGCACACATGCCATAGGTTGCCTACCTCTGCTGTAGAACCTTACCTGCATGAGTAGCCCCATTTGTGACACTGCAGTGTGAAGGATTTTCTTTTTGTTCAATGTTTTGTTTATTTACATTTGTACCAATAATTAATGCTGCTCCTACTGATTGCCCAATGATTTATAAACCACATCCTGCCTACCCCATGCTGCATGGCAATCTAGTCCTAATAAAATCATGTTTTAAACATCACAGAGGCGTCCAGAGAGCAGCACCACTGTTAATAAGGATATAAAGAGGAATCAATTAGTTACTTATAATCTTTCTACTATCTGAAGGCTGGTTTAAAATGTAGATATTTCCTGTTAGCATTTTGGATGGATTTTAAATATTCAGAATAATATTAGGTCAAAACTCAGAGTGTTTATTACTTATTTGTTTGTATAGTGTATATGTCTTACACGTTTCTACAGTGCCCATCTCTGTAATATCTCAGGGTACATCTACACTACAGGTGGGAGTCGATTTAAGATACGCAAATTCAGCTACGTGAATAGCGTAGCTGAATTCGACGTATCACAGCCGACTTACCCCGTTGTGAGGACGGCGGCAAAATCGACTTCTGCGGCTTTTTGTCGGCGGCGCTTACTACCACCTCCGCTGGTGGAGTTAGAGCGCCGATTCGGGGATTGATTGTCGCGTCCCAATGGGACGCGATAAATCAATCCCCGAGAGGTCGATTTCTACCCGCCGATTCAGGCGGGTAGTATAGACCAGACCTCAGCCTGATTTTCATCATTGCCCCTAATACTTTATAGAGTTAACAGATGATACAGCATATGGCAGAGATTGTATATGTCACCTTATAAGATGGCTGTCTACGACTGATTAATATGTATAGGCGTTTATACTCCATGGAAAATCCAGCAATACAAGTCTGGCCCAAATCCTGAAAAATGTAGAGTATCCACAGCTCTAATTGACTTTGATGGGAGTGACAGGTGCTAAGGATTTGGTCCCTGTTTTTCTCTGTTTCCTAATTGATCACAATCTAGCCCTTTTATATCATGCAAATTGCATAGGCAGCACACTTAAATTAAATACCTGACTCTTAAAGATAGAAAGTGGTGTTCTAGGAAAATGGTGACCCAGGGACAGTGGGGGTTTTTTGAAGTATTTAGGCTCTTAAAGATATAGGTAGACATCTAGTAGGATTTTTAAAAGTGCCTAGGCACCTAACTCCCATTGGAAGCTGAAATGAGGTGTCTAGGCTCCAGCGGACGTTAGGTACCTCAGCACCAATGGAAAGTCAGGTGCCTAGGCACTTCTGAGAATTACACTAGGTGCCTATCTGCATCTTTAGGTGCCTAAATACCTTTACAAATCTGACCCCAAATGAAAAGCTTATGTTTTTTTTCCTTCACTGAGGGTTCAGTTCTGCTCTCTTAAAGCAAAACTCACATGAAATTCCAATTTCTTTCAGACATTTGAGTTTGGTGAAAGACTGGGGTGAGGGGAGGTGTCGAAGCTGAATTTAAATTCAATGTGTGCACAAAGAACCAGGAAACACAGTCTGAGACATGTAAGAAATTCTCGCCGTAGACCACATGTGCCAAGACCTGCTGAATAGCCACTGCTCCTAAAACTTCTGCTACTGCAAATGTACATGACTTAAGCCAGTTTCGTTCAGAGAAGAGTGTTACTGAAACAACTGAGAAACAGGAAAGAGAATATTGTTTAATAACGTTTTAGTATTCCCTAAGAGAAACAACTAAGTAAAGTATTACATGGTAAGATTCTTCTTCAGTAATTCCCAATAAATGTAGGTAATCATTAGAGGTAGGTAAAAATTGACAACATGAGCTAAGAAAGGAGTAATATGATAATTCTCTAACCCCATTAACACAATGGCTGTCTCAGATCTCTTAGCTCCAATTGTGACACCAAAAAAAGTTTTGTTTGAGGAAACCAAATTTTGGGCCTGTAGCCAAAATTAAGTAAATCAACAAAATTTGTTTCAGGCAGAAGTGAAGGTAGTTTACAAAGGTTAAGGTTATGTAACCAAGGAACAGAAATATTACAATAATAATAATAATTAATAATATGCCAAATCATGTGTATGAACAAACTTTGTGATTGCTACAAACAGTTAAAATATTTGTGTACGTATTTTCTGTTCACACTTGCGATTAATCAGCATAGAGCTGGTTAAAAAAAATGTATTTTTGTTTCTGAAAAAAACTTTAAAGTAAACCAAAAACCAAAGAAGTTCTTACAAAAATTTCCATTTTCTCAAAAAGCCATTTTTATCCCCCAAAAAAGTTTTGATATAGTTTTCAAACAGCTCATGTGTTTTATATGACTAATCATATGTGTGAATTGCAAATATTCACATGAGTACTTTAACAGTATGTGCAATCATAAAGTTTGCTTCTACAAAAGATTCAACAAACTGTTACAAATAATGAACAAATTAAAATGTCAAGAACCTGAAAAAGAGGTTAATCTTACCAGATAAATTATTCATTGTGAATTGTTTGCCCACTTCTGACATTTACCTGTTTTTCTGGGAAGGAAAATAAGGATAATCTTACTGTATGATTGCACCTTAAAGACTAACAGATTTATTTGGGCATAAGCTTTTGTGAGTAAAAACCTCACTTCTTCGGATGCATCCGAAGAAGTGAGGTTTTTACTCACAAAAGCTTATGCCCAAATAAATCTGTTAGTCTTTAAGGTGCCACCAGACTCCTTGTTGTTTTTGTAGATACAGACTAACACGGCTACCCCCTGATACTTTACTGTATGATTGTTTCTTTAGTTGAATTATTTAGGGAATACTAGAATGTCAGCCATTAATAATTTTCTAAGCTAGAATCTCTGTCCTAACTTCAGTTTTGCAGTCTGTAGGCCAGAATTTCAAAGTTTTTTACATACCTAATGCTGAAAACCTGGCCCTGTTTATTCCATGTTCACAAAATTGCTTATTGATATATTGTCTCTTTCTTGTGATTTTAG